AAGAAAGAAAGAAAGAAAGAAAGAAAGAAAGAAAGAAAGAAAGAAAGAAAGAAAGAAAGAAAGAAAGATCTAACATAGGGATTCCAAGCCTTCCTGTGGCTTCAGGAAACCGCTGTTGAAAGTCCAAGCTCCATTTCCTATCTCATCCATATCGCTCCAGATCCTGAAGAAATGACCGAACACACATGCGCATGTGTATACACACACACACACACACACACACACACACACACAAGCACGCAATTCACTACTGAGCCTCCCTTCCTGGTCTCTAGTACTTCTCTTAGGGCTCTCAGAGGCAATAGCTGTCCACACATAGAAATCATCCCAGATTGCAACTCCAGACAGTATGAGCAGTTCCTGTTAGGCAGAACCCCATCACCGGGCACAGACAGGAGAGGAATGTGAGGCTTCTCCAGAGCTGTCTGCTGTCACATGCCTCCTGGATGGTGTGTCATGGTGTCCACAAGGAAAGGGCTTGCTGTACCTCGTCGTGTGGGTACTACAGGGGACAGTGGAGCTCTTGAGGCAGGCAGCATGCTCGTGTGGCTGGCAGTTGTGAACACTTTCAGGCAAGGTCACCCTGCTTACTGTCTTTCACTTACTTACCTTTCCCATTATTTGAACAAAACTCCAGACACCAATAAGTCAAGGGAAAGTTTTGCTTGAGCTCAGTTTGTAGAGAATTCAGTCCAAAGTTCTCTGGCTCCAACCCAGGGTGGCATGGCAGAGGGGCACTGAACAGGAGAAACTGTCCAAGGCAAGTCAGGTGGAAGACAGCAAGCATTAGGCCTTCCTTTCCCTTTTATACCATCCAGGCTTTAAGCCTATTGGGTGGTGCCACCCACAACCAGAATGAGTACACAAGGTTTGAGAGAGACGTCTAGGTATAAGCTGTAACATTCCCCATCCTACAAACTAAAAGGTGAGGTGGGTAACTAACTGCTGATCAACCTCGTACACCCAGCTGAACTGAAGAAGCATGGTGAGGGTTGTTGCCAGAAGCATAAAAGCATCATGGGAGAAGACTCCAGAATGCTGTTAAGGATGCTGCTTGGAGAAGCTGCTGGAGCTGTTGGAAGCTGCAAGTTCTCTTGGGCTATTCTGCTGGAAAACCTTGTCATGCTGGCTTTCCCTATGAACTTGGGAGAAGCTTGGCTTCTCCTCTGAAGCATCAATTCCTGGCACCAAAGAAAAAGATGGTGCACTGCTCAGCCTCATGTGTCTTGTCCCATTGGCCTTCCTGGTGGAAATTTGGTTTTCCTCTTCGCTGCAACAGTCCAGAAATTCACTGTTGCTGAGGACGGCTCTGGTACTTTGGTGGAGCTCTGGTGCTTACCTTGAGCATTGCTTTCTAGCTCCAGTTGAGATCTCTCAGCTTGCTAGCGCAGATCGTCCATCCCTCTGGCATAGACTTCCTAACTTCCACCACTGACTCTTGGGCCTTTCTAGCACAGATCAATGAAGTCAGCCTGGATGAGACTTGCTGTGAGCTCTAGGCCTCCAGTTGGACTGGTAGGATGTACTGCTACGAGCTCTAAGCACTCATCTGGATTCTTAAGTATTTAGTGTGTGAGTCGATGTCCTGTACTTGTAGTAGGTAATTCTTAGGTAATTCATCCTACAATATTATTGTAAAACCTGACCTGTACTATATTGCTCACCTTGCAAAAAGCCCCAAACCAAGACAACAGTGGTACCGAGAGTGGGGTCACTACTGTGCTATTGCCTTGTCACATGACTTAAAAGCTTTGTCATTAATTCTGAAATGTTTTGATAGACTGGTCCAAGAGACAGCCTTGTATGTTGTAAACTGTATTGGAGCCTGGAAAATCAGAGTACAGATGGAAATGCTGCCAGTTAAGATGAAGTTTATGGGCTGGTGAGATGGCTCAGTGGTCTAAAGCACCTACTTAGAACAAGCTTAGCAAAGCACAGGGACGGCGGTTCAATCCCCCAGCACCACATGCCAGCAAGCCCCGCCCCCTGGTGGGCTGAGCTGGTCACACACACACACACACACACACACACACACACACACACACACACATAAATAAGTAAATTTTTTTTAAAAAAGATGAAGTTTAGGTGGCTTTGATTGAGAACTGCAATAGATGCTGGACCCAGGTAGGATACTGTGCTTTGGGAAATTTGGTTTCGTTTTCCTTGGATTTGGAAATGTTGCCTGGGTGGATTAAGAAAAATTTGAATGAAGTCTACCTTTGGGAATGTGGCATCATTGATGTGGAGAGCTTTTCCCCAGATCAATGTTTGAAATTAAGAAGGAAGAGCCAGTGACATGATACAAAACACTGGGCCACAGGGGTGGCTCTAATGAAACTGTTGACTGCAAGGATGAAATAGAGGACAGTGTTATTGTTAAAAACAGAATAATGTAAACATGAAATGCAGCTTTTCACCTGAAGATGAGTGTATTAAAATTGCAGGAGATCCCTGCTTTTC